CTTGCATCATTCATGGCGTAGGTGAGATATCCGTCTATCAACCAAAGGACATTCCGTCTTACTTTATGGCAGTGAAACATGGCCGGTAAGAGTAGAAGATATTCGTAGGTTACTAGTATTTGATCATGGGTGTCTTCGAAACATTGCTCGCATGTCCTGGGACCATCGAGTAAGTAATGCAGTTGTTAGGAAACGGGTACTAGGTAAGGATGGCAATTCAATTGATGAAGTTTCACCACTTCATCAGTTGAGATGTCTGGGACACGTGTTAAGTATGCCCAAACACCGACTGCCACGACGTGCTGTGTTTTATGGTGTAAGAGTAGGTTAGAAGAAAGCTAGGGGTGACCAGACTAAAACGTGACACAAGTCCATGAAGTCACTGACGAGTCTACTAAGCCATGTTGGTAGGTGTATACTACCTGGTTGGGATCAGCGAGATGATAACAACAGATGGTTAGAGACCTTGAATGACGTGGCTTAAAATCGTTTTCAATGGCACAGGTGCATCCAATCTTTGTGTTGTCACAAATTTTGATCTTCTGAATTCTTCATGTCCCTCTTTTTCTTTCCAAATTTATTTCACTGTATTATACTCCTTAAATAACATCTTCAAACCCTAATGTTTTCGATTACTGCTTATACTCTTACTACCTCTACTACTACGGAATTTGAAACGGCAACCGCATCTCTGTGCTAATGTGGCATGGCAACTCGATTTGATGCACATACGTACGAAGTTCTACGTTGTTACTGACTGACTGTTGTCCGGTGCTTCTTGAGTTTCAATTTCATCTTGGCGACCAGCAAGTCATGATCTGATGCTATATCAGCTCCTCTCCTTGTTCTCATATTCTCTATTGTCCTCCTGAACTTTTTGTTGATGTAGATATGGTCTACTTGGTTTTGCGTAGTGTGATTCGGTGAAGTCCTTGTGGTGTGTGTATGCGTTTGTGTGGGAATATAGTGCCGCCTATGACCGGTTTATTGAAGGCACATAGGTTTGCAAATCTCTCACTATTTTCGTTCTTTCCTCCCTCTCCGTGTCGTCCCATAATTTCTTCATATCCGGTGTTGTCCATTCCAACCTTGGCATTCAGGTCTCCCATTAGAATGATCGAGTCCTTTTTTGGGCATTTCTCAGCGATTAACTGCAGCCTATCGTAGAATTGATGTTTAACGTCTTAATTGTAGTCGTTGTTAGGCGCATAGTATTGGATGACGTTCATTGAAATGCCCTATTTCTTTGTTTTGAAGGAGGCTTTGATGATCCTTGGTACATGAGATTCTCACCTGATAAGTGCTTTTTGTGCTTGTTTAGATTGCATCAGTGCAACACCTTGTGCATATGAAGCATTTTTTTCTTCATGACCGGCAAATAACAGCAGCTCCTCTGAAGCTAGTCTTTGTTGTCTAACCTGCGCCCAATGTGTTTGACTGATTCCAAGCGCATCCAGTTTGAATCTTTTCGTTTATGCAGCAATTTAGGTAACTCTCACAGTCTCCTACTTTGTACGAGCATTCCAGGTACCAAAATTAATGGTTGGTCTGGTTGCCAGAAGTGGAATCAACCTTGCGACTTTCGAAGGAACTCGACTTTCTAAATGAAGATCTTCTAACTCCCAGGACAGAGTTTAAATTGATAGAATTATTTTTTTCAGATTAGAGTTTTTTACCAACTTAGTTTTCTACGGGATTAGGTCACTAATCCCACGCCCAATCCTCCTGTTTTATCTGGGCTTGGGACCGGCAGTAACTCCGGAGGCGTCTAGGCAGAATTATATATATATTGTGATAAATTCTTACCATGATTTCAACAAACTTGTAAAAAAGAATCCATCAATAAAACGTTGATCAGTTATATAAGATGAAAGTAAATATCACTTGAAATTGTTTGCTAAACGACATTATCTCTATTCACACCAGTAGATTGTAAAAAGTTTCAAATGTTTAGTTCTTAAGTCGGTGATGATCACGAGAATTTATATTATGAAGGCATCATCTACAGAATTAATTATTTGTAAACTTTCGTTTGTGAAACCACGCGGCCTGAAAAGTGTCACTAGTATTCCCGTTCAAATCAATATCGAATATACACATATAACTGGTTTTAAATAAACTAATTTATCTGGAAAATATTTAAGAATTGGAAGTAAAAATGTTTGAAATAAAGTATAAAATCCTGTTATCTGCCAAATAATTAAATCATAATAAATTTGTCTCTTTAATGTAAAGTAGTTGAATGATTATACACATCTATTATTGCATTAAATTTGATAGATCTTATTTTTTGCACTGATTTATACCCTACAATAAATCAGTTTAGGTTTAATAAAATCATGTCTGGTCAAATAATAAAAAAATCTTACAATGAACTGATTAATTCATTTACAGATGAATGAAAATTGGCAATTAAATTTCATAAATTATGGTAGTATTTCTATGACAACTTTAGGTAAGAAATTAATTAATGTTAAGATGTAAAATGAGCGGAAATATTGAATAATTAAAAATGGCCAAGTTATTTTTACTTGTCAGAACCAATGTTTTCAGGAAAGTTTGTATTATGGAAAATAACGTTAACACTTTTAATTGTAGATACATCTTAGGTATCCACCTAACTGTTTCGTTTACTATTGAACTATAATCCACACTACTTGATAGACAAAATATGGTTAATAATTTTATATTTTGAAACTTGAAATGTCTTTATCCAAAAACTCAATGTATAATTTGTTCGCTAGATGTCTTTGGAACAGTGTGAATGAATATCTGCTTATATTTTTGATGTGATAAGTTTTCACCTTAAAAGTCAACTACAGTGGAACGGCTATACACTTAAAAAGAAAGTAATCACAACCAATGTGACGGAAAGTTCCAAATTTATAAACAAACATTTATGTAGAATTAGTTTTTCCAGTCCACTAAAACCAGTTTGTTACATTTTTTAAATAATTAATTGTATTCCCAGTGGAATTCTAATATTTCATATAACTTTGAATAAAACAAGGAACAACTATGGTTGTAATATGAACTCATTTGTTTCATACGTTCCCCTCAACGGTTTTTAAATTAGAAGCAGTAGTATTAATCATTGAAAACAAGTCATATATACTTCATATTAAAAAAGGGCTTGAATGAAATTGATTTTAACGCGTAGATATAGCGTAATAAGAGCCTGTAGTGGAAAAATTAAAAGTTGTCCAAACATTTGTTTATTTATGGGTTAAATATGTGAATAATGTAGAAGAGAAAAACTGAGGTAAACGTGGCAATTGAATTTCATCGAAATCTAAGTGTCATGTCTTAGATTGCGCCATGCTCGAAAAATATGAAATGGGCTAATAATGCTCAGAGATAGGAAAATAGGAATTATAATTAAGGTCATAGAAAATGAATCTTACATAACATACTCATGATAAGTAAGTGGTTAAGGCGAAACTAGATTGATAACTGTATCTTGCTTACTGCATGTCTTTGGCTTAAAACTTTTTCTGACGAATGGTTTAGTGAAGTGTAATAAATTTGTTGTTTTTGCTGATTGATTAATTTGAAGGATTTTGAAACTTCGAAACCATGCAAATGACGAGCAACTGCTCTGTTGTAAATGCGCTGTCCGTTTAGTTGCAATATTTGTGGAATGTGTTCAGAGGTACATTCTTTCTGCTTTTAAAATAGATGTAACTTGATGCGTACGCGTCAACTGGTAGATATCTTCAGAGGTGATATGAATAAATTCTTGTTATTGTGGTACTATCTTTGTTATTCCTTAATTCACATTTAGGAATATGAAAAATTGTTTGAAGTTGTATAACTGATAGAAAGTTCTATGATATTTTTCAATAGGTCGTATTGATATAAAATTCGCGCAGTGTAAAATATCCAGCCAATTGCAAAATAAATATCCTAACATTTTAGTATTCTTTCCGTGTCATCTCAGGTTAGGTAAATTTTTAATTCGAGAGCTGACCAGAAGCTGGCAAGAAACAACTGCATAAACTTCGACTCAGGATTTATAAACAATTTTCTGACTTTAGATTTCTTTAGATTTAAGAATATACGCCATGTATTCTGATGTATTTTGGTTAGGCCATCGTCAATTTAATATCATCTCATATAAGTAGTGAGAAATCCCTATTCAGTATATGTAGTGATCTGGAGGTCGGTTATAATCCGAATAATAAATGAACTCAATAATGATAACAACGAGACATACTTCCAACCATCATGTCTACTGTCTTTCTGTTGTTAATGGTTATAACTTTCAAATTATCAAGACTGAAAAAGTTCATAGTCGCTTGAGATCACAAAGTTAACGTAGTGAACGAATACGCATTTGAGAAATTTCCGAACAAATGTTTACATGAAACCAAATTTGGAAATTCAAATCAGTCCATTAACTTTTAAGATTTCGTAGACTGCAGATCATCTCAGTTCATAAGTATACCAGCTAGTTATTATTATTATAGCACAGGAAGCTGGTTGGTAAATCAAATAACTGTAGAGTGAAACGGTTCTCTGTAGTCTGTTCTTACCTGAATTCCATTCCTATCAACCGAGGTCACTGAAAAAAATGTAAAACACACTGCTGAAATATTTCATGGAAAACGTTGAGTATTATAATTTCATAAAATCTGTTGCTTTGTCTGCTTTAATTACAAATATATTTGCTAAAAATATTACTTGAACCATCCAGTTTTACTAAACCTATTTAAATTGTCTAACATCTGGTACATAAAAACAGGAGTCTTTTATTTTAAAACGTTATTCTCAATTAAAATTAAATCCATGTATGGTCCCTGAGATTTTCATTCATTGTATCATTTACCTGTGAATATATGAGATTGTATAAAGAATGGAAATTGTTTGTCTATCCTGACAACTACAAATACTTAAAATAACTTGATTGGTTGAAATGAATAAACATTGTCCGTACTACAATTGGTTGAATAACCGTTAAATCAGAATAACGATTATATAGCTGAATCAGAAACATAAATCAAAGATATAAAGTTGACCATTAAACAATTACTATAATAAAATTCAAACGAAAATAAGATATGCATCAAGTTATTTGCAATTTTTTGTTGAAATTTTAAAATCTTGATGTAGTAAATCTAGAAAAATGAATATTTTCCGACACCTACCTTATGATTACAATATGATTATTAAATATTATGCAAAAACAATTCGATCACTTAATCGTATCTGAAAGAAAATGAATAGAAAACTTTTAAGTTTTCAGACATCAACAATAAATGATACAAATGATATCACATTTAATAGCCCATCTGAAATTTGCGAGCTACAAAACTTGAATTCAAATGAACATATAGATGATATGAATGATATACCCACGAAACAAAAAATGGAAATGCCTGAGCCACCAGAAAATATAAAAGTATCCAGAGAAACGTCAGATAAAAAATTATCAGCCGGTAAAGACAAAAGTAATAATATGAAAAAACTCAACAATAAATTGCGATTTCGTTATTATTCAGTAGGATTGTTAAATAGTTTACATTTGCTGACTGCTAACTCAAATTGCAACATTGACACAACTAACAAAATGTACACACCAATAAAACATTTAAAACAACCGCGTACACGCAGATATACTATCAACCTTCCAGAAGAAAATGATGAATTACAATCTCTAACATTTAATGATGCAGCATCATATATGGATATTGGTGGTGACAATTCTATTTTAAATGAAATCGAAGAACCATTATCTTTGGATACTAAAACTCCATACAGTCATCAACGTCAAAGTGTTATTAATAATAATATAAACAATAAGAGTGGTTTTCGTGAAAGAGGGTGGTCTTTGTACAACTTAAAAGAACAATTTATTTCATTCTTTCAACCATCGGATAATAAATTAGCGCTTAAATTATTTGGCAACAAAGTAGCTTTAGCATGTGAAAAACGTAGGCAGCGTGAACAAGGTAAATGGATTATACATCCATGCAGTAATTTTCGGTGAGTTGTTCGAAATGTTTACTTACTTATCTTATTATCGATTACATGACCGAACTTTATAATTCAACAGCATGTATTTAATTAAAGCTCAGCTTACTAGAAAATAAAGTTGTATATTACTGGTCTTAAATCTATTCGTTTTTGTCGTTTTTAATTTTTATGCAATTTATATAAACAGTAGACGTGATAGAGATCTAATTTACATTTACAAAAAAATCAGACGTAATGATAAGCCATAGAGACTACTTTATTATCGACACAATTACATACATATTTCGTAAAGAAAAACACAACATTCACTACTCACCAGTATTTAAATAACCATTGGCAAATATAACCTACAAAGGACTAACTGTAAAATTTGTAGCACCTTTGTTTAATTAAGTTTATGTAACTTGGCTAGTTTTTCTCCAATTTATTCAATGTTATAGAGAGAATTACAATACCAGACTTTATTCATTTTGTAAAACATTTTATTTCAAAGTTTCATGAAAAGAAGTTCGTTTTTTCATCGAATAACTAAGTAAATTTAATGAATCAAAATGCTAATGGTAAAGTAATGAACATTGTTTACAATCACGTTAAACATTTAAACCAATAATCAACATCAGTAACTGAAATATAATTAATGAACACTCCCATTGTCGTATATTTACTTTAACAATCATAAGTGAAAGAATAAATGATATAAAACATCATGGAAGAAATGGGAAAATATTTGCATCAAAAGTGTATATAGTAAATGAAAAGGATGTGGGGAAACCAAGAGGTTTTAAAGCATTTAAGTAAATTAGATTTCTCTGTGAGACTATAATTTATGGATGACTTTTGAGCGACGCTAGACTGACCTTGAGAGTGTGTGGCGCATATATATTTGGTGGCCTCCTGCACCAATATTTATTTGTCCAAATATATAAATAAATGAGTGTCTACCTGATAACTAGGACTAAATGAGGGTTATAAATTAGTGTAAGGAATTCGAATTATGATTTACAGTTAATGGCTAAGGTTAGGAATTAAATTTAGGGCTATTATTACGAACTGACATCAGCTATAATTCCAAGACTCTATTTCAACGAATGGATGGGTGAATTTCGTTCCGAAATCCGAGACCTGTTATTTTATACTTGATTGGTTCGTCCATAAATTATAGTTTCTCCGATTTCTTAGTAATATACCACAATTTCGTTATCTGTCGTATCTATAATTGATTGTCTTTTATGTGGTTTCTATGTTTATTAGCTTTTCACAGTTTTATAAATTTCGATTCTAATAGTCTGTTACCATTTCTCAACTCTACGTTCCTTTAGTTTTTTGTTTCCAGTTCGCTTTGTTGAAAATGACAAGAAAATTGCCATCCAATAGTATATATATATATATATATATATATATATATATATATATATAATATCTCTTCTAAATAATTTTTACATTATCAGTTCTTATTAATTAAATTTAGCTAGTATAAATAGTTCTTTTATTTATTCGCGACATAAACATTTATACACCAGGTTATTTGGAATCATCAATTTCCATATCATTTGTTACCTGTAAAATTTATGAGAATAATGCAATGCACGGAACATTAGTTTTTCTTCAAAAACGTGTCACATTGAATACTAAAGTAACTTCAATTTCAATTTATTACTTGAGTAATCATGCTCATATCTGTAGCCGTTAATACAACAATTGGGATTTGGTGACACTAATGTACTACTCTTCCCTATTTACGTCCTCATAAGTAAGACCATTCTAAAATATTATATATTAAACGACTTCGTACTTTTCCTGTGTTGGGGGCCATTGTGTAATTTGTGAAAGGTAACTAAGAAAATCCAAAATGGATTTTATTGTCATCCACAAATAAATACATTAGTTGTGTGATGCTTGAAAGTGGTAGTTGGTTACTTCAATTGGCGTTTTTCAGAGGCTAGAAGTCATTAATGCTCCAAAGCTGTTAGTCGTTCCCTTAATTAATTTTCTCAGTTCTAATATTTAGATAACAAACAAGTGGTGCTATATCTCTTAGCCTATTAGGCCTATTTTAAATATATCATACAATTTTGTTTATTTAGGAATATCTATTGAGTATGGTAAAATCACCAATTATTAAAACAAAAGTTAAATCTGAACAAACTTCTGAAAATTGTCGTTCCGTCCTATAATCACACACAGATAAAAGTGATGCTATGTACTACCTAATGGAAAGATAATGGAAACTATTTCATGACTAGATGTGTTCGAATTATTATTATTATTATTATTATTATTAATGGCTTAATTCAAGAAATGAAAAATTCAACGTGAATAAAAAATACTTACATTGAAACAAACTATCATAAGAATCTATTCAAAAAAGATATAAAATTAATTTTATTTAATTAAACTAAATACTTTTTTATATTTTTGATTTTTAGTGTGAATGTTTGCATACTTGATAATTATGTGGACTAAAGATTGAGAAAAACTGAAATCTTAGAGAGCTAAATTTAAATCAAAGCTAGTTTTTATAATTTAATAATATCATGAAGTATCTAGGAATAAATCTGAGAATCAACATCATTACGTTACATATATGACATATGACTTACACATATGCATGTTTTAACAATTAAGTCACGCAGTTACATATTTATTAAATACTTTGGTTCTAAAACACGTGAACGTTTACGAATGAAATCTTCAGGACTGTGAAAAGTACATTTATATGTTAAGAATTTGCTTTACTGACTACTTGATTGGTTATCGATTCGTGAATTTTAGTGAAAAGTTAAACTCAGTGGGATTTAGTCAAATAATAACACTGGATTCGAATAATGACAGGGCAATATCGCTGGGTGAGTACACAATCCATGGAAATAATAATACATTCAGAAAAAATAGTGTTGTCTATGGAATCCATAGGGTTGTTAGATGTATTCTGGATAAAGTTTGTAGCGTGGATCGAATGATAGTTTCCTGCTTAAGTAAATTGGTCATGAGATACCGCATTGACTAAATAGTTCACTAACTGACGCTAGTCTGTCAAGAGAACTGCCGGTAATCCGTCGAAATAGTTTAAGGTCAACATCAGATGTTGTGACTGAGAATCTAATTTATTTACGAAATATGTTATTTATATGAGCTGAGAATTTCATAACTTTAATATATGTTTTCTGTTGCTAATGAATATCTTATCATTGATATTACTAGATATCATTTCATTTCATACATTATTTCCCTTTGTTTTCAAATTAATTGTACTTCTCTGTGTAATAACTGTAATGTACCTACTTATTGCATATCTGACTGTTTAACGTAAATGAAATGAATTTATAAAAAAATGATCTTCCACTTCTAAAGTTAATTTAAAGGTTATTCTTAAATTAATTAATATATTTAACATATTTCACCTACGTCTATGTATCATTTTAGGTGTATAATGTTGTTCGGTGTTTATATTCATGTTCTTAAAAATAAAGCGTATTTTACAAATATGTAAAATAAAATGAAAAGCATGTAAGGAAGAACGCTTTCAGCTGTTAGTTTTTTGTTAGATCGTCTTATTTTAGAAATCTAATAAATAATTATTTCAATAGTTCAGATCATGAATCAGTTGAAGCTATAAAATTACTATAATATCCCCAAATGCCTTTCTGATATTAAACAACATATACTCACTAGTGACTGGCTTCAAGGGGTATTTCCTGGAGTTCTAGTGAGAGGCAGTGATCAGTGGTGTTCAACCGGGTGTGTTGTGAGATAGTAACTCACTGAAGAAAATGGTGGACGTGTCGCTCAATTTAGTGAATTAATTGAAGTTAGACATCAACACTAATGGATGCCGGCCAGCTCAGTGGTCTAGAGGTTAGGCGTTCACACGCGGGTCCGATAGGTTCTGGGTTGGAATCTCGTGAGGTGGGATCATGGATGCGCATTGCCGAGGAGTCCCACAGTAGTACGAAGCGGCTGTTTATTGTTTCCAGGTTTTCCATGGTGGTCTAGCTTCAAATGACTCATGATCTCAACTACTGAAATTATTATAATATCTACAAAACCTCTTCTGATATCAAATAGTTTTTTATCGGTTAATGGAAATGTTTAAAAAGTGTAGTGATGTATAAGTTCATTGAAGTACATAATATCATTTATTACGTAGTATCAACCACATACTGTTACTAGATCTTACTTTGGTAACAGTTACTACCAAATGATCAACCGTTGTCAGTGACTCAGTAAATACTGTCATAATTTACTGGTGGTATGAAACGAATTATAGCACATACATATATGACATAGGATTGTGGATGATATGTTTTTATAACATCCATATATTGTTTCAAGTTAAAATTCATTCCTAACTGAAAATGCAAATCTTGGTCAATGTATATAGTGGTGGTAGATCATCAATTTCGAGTAAGGTGAAGGCCTTAAATTAGTTTATTCTAAAATGGAAACAATACAATCTCTTGATGACTAGCAATAGCGACGTTTCTTTTCCACGATTAACTATTGAATTTAATGTTACGACTGACTGTAATATGCACAATCACTATATACTAATAAACATTACTGAAATACGACAAATCAATTTATATTATGAAACCATTATCTGGGAAATATTTTTTTCACAAGCTAACATATTAGGAATATAGTATTTCCATATGTAAAGCTATTTGTCCCTTTTATAAATTTCCATAGAGCAATGAGAAGACGGAGTTGATGAATAAAGGTCAGTCAAATGAAAGTTCAAGTAAAGAAAGTGATAATTGTAAATAAAGGAGAGAGAAAGAATTGACATCGTATAGAAAGAATAGGAAATTGTCGCATTACCCTAGGCCATAAAATGACTTAAGGATTACCAGGGTAAATTCAAGGTTACGACAATTTGGTTTTGTACACATAAGAGGGTTTAAATTTACAAATAGCCAAGGCTTCAATAAACCTGAGAATCCATTCGCTACAATTTCTATACAACGTTTTCGAATCTGTATTAATGTCAATTCTGTGCCCCGTTTCAA